TTTCTTCTGACTTACCTACGGTAAACACGTGGTTGCAGAGAAATGCGTTCTGAAAGAGGTTCCGTGGTTCGGATGGATGGTGTTCTGTTGTTCTTAAAAGTTCTGAACAATACTGGTAAACAGGGAAGCTAGATAACGTGGCAGATGTTGAAAATAATGAAAGATCCAGGAAGAAAAGTGAAACGGATTTTATTCTAAACGGCGCAAATGAGAATTTTTTTTCAAAATGCGAGAAATTCGCGAATTTTGAAATTGGTTTATAGAATGCGTGAATTTCTCGCNTTAGTCCTGATTATGAATTTCGAGAAAAACACACAGAATATTCAGCTTTATTTAAATTAGTATTTCCACTCTCATCATTTTTCAAAATAGTCTGTACATCAATCACTTTCTGTTTCCTCAACTAAGTTTGATATATGTAGTAAGTTTGATATTTTTTTAATCCACTTCTCTTATTTGTGATTTTTTTCCCTTTTTTTGGAGGGCGTTGGTTTTAATTTTCTACATTTTTCATTGAAACTAAATTTCCGAAATTTTCATTGAAACTAAATTTCCCCTCTCTTTGTCCTTCAAATCAGTCTGAAATATTCTATTTTTTAACAGAGACTGTAGCCAATCACCACTTTGGATAAAATTTCATGACTCATATGTCGTTTAAACCTTACAATACACCTGAATTATTGAAAATAATTAATTAATTAAAAAGGCTATTTTCACCTATTTCTTTGAAAATCCATGTGGTTCTTCAATTGTCTTTTCCACATCGCTTTTCATATGTTATGACACACAAATTTGGAATTCATGTCACTACTTAATGATTTTGTAAAAATTATGATTGTTTTTTAGGTGTTCACTTACCATTTTCCAGCTAGTTCCGTGTCTTTTTTTTCAACCTTCAAATTTTGATTATTTAAATAAGATGTTATATGCAAATCTAAGTCATCACATTAGATTCATAACAACTCCATCACAAATCCCTGTCATTTTTCAATAGTTTTTACAGCTAATAATCTTTTAGAAATTTACAGGTTTTCTCAACTTTTGATGTTTTAATTATGATATCATTATGACCCACTGATTTCAAATTTGAGTTATCACTTTTTGATGAGCTCGATCTGTGACAATTTAATGTGTTTGATTAATGACAATTCCATGGTATTTACCCCGTAATTTCCATTTGTTTCTTCACCAGTTTTTTTAACCATTTCCGCTGATTTTTGGAATGTCCATACCATTAATACCACGCTATTAAGACTAGAAAATCTTCAGTTACCACTTGTTAAAGCACTTCAAAAATAATAAAACTGCAAAATGTTGTGCAAGGTAAAAATTCAATGTTGTTTTTCATTTGTTTTTTCAGCAGTTTTTTTCTTATCATTTGTTTGGCCATTTCCTCTTATCTCTTTCTTATCATGATTTTTGGAATATCAATATCATTAATACACTATTAAGACCAAGAAATCATCAGTTACCTATTGTTGAAGCACATTAAAAATAATAAAACAGCAAAAAACAGAAAGGTAAATAAACGTGCAAAGCATTTTATAAATATTTACAAATGCTTTACTACAACTTTTAAATATTATACATTTAGTAAAATTTACAAAATAAAATTGCTTGAAATTAAAATATTAAATAAATAAAATATCACATTAAAAACCATTTATAATTATAAATAAAGAATAAAAAAAACTACCCTTACTTTACCAGATAGGAAGCTTCGAGAACCAAGAAGAGCATTTAAATAGTTGAGATTCCTTTTAAAACTTAAAGGTAGAGAATCATCTTTGGAAGCTTTAAGTAATGCAGAAATGGAAGGCTAAAATAAACATAATACAATAAAATATCCTCAGTGTTTTATAAAGCATTAATTTTTAAATAAACAAGGTGCGTAGCCAAATCTTTCAACAAAAAATAAGCTCCTTTTCAGTACTTTTCAAGCACTCAAAAAATATTTTTAAATACTATACACATTAACAAAATGCAAAATAATTTTGTAAGACTTTCCATGATCAAGACAAAATAACTAGTTTCTGACAAAGAACGCTTTTCTGGATTATATTAGCCACCATAAAATGATCAAAATATTTTTTGGTTCGATATCAGAGGGTGGAGAATGAAACCTGAAATTAAGAATATCTTGCAAAATGCAGCAGAGTTGCACATGAGGGTGCAATAATCTCTCTGAACCCAGCTCAGTAGACACACAAGTGGACTCTCAAGTATTTTATCAAACATGGAAAACGATTGGCATTTTCACATGCTAACGACCAACAGTAAGCCGAAATGGATTGTGGTTGGATGAACTGTAAGAACATTGAATAAAACAATGTGAAAAGCACACTTTTGCATAATACATGGCGAAAATAGACATGGTAAACAAGGGGGAAAAAATTATTTTCGAAAAGGAAAAATTAAGCACTTTTTAAAAACCATGAGGAATGACCAATGAAAAAAACACCTTAAGGGATTTTAAAAAACGAAAGAAGCATTTCTTAAAAACGCTACATACCATGAAATAACAAATTTGCCTTTAAGTTTTACTAATTTAATTGTGAATTAATTAAGAATTAATTGTGAAAACATTGAATAGAGCAATGTGAAAAGCACTCTTTCGTATAATACTTGGCAAAAATCGACATGGTAAAGAAAAAAATCTCATTTTCGAAAATGGAAAATTAAGCACTTTTTAAAAACACCCAATGAAAAAAACACCTTTAAGAGCTTTTAAAAAACGAAAATAAGCACCTTTAAACAATTTTTAAATGAATTATAATTTGTAAATTCAATTAAAGAATACTTGGAATAGATCAAATGTACAATTTTCTGCATTTTGCTGAAGAAACTAGACATTTCTTCGTGCAAAATTTCAAAATTAGTTACAAAATTTCTCAACAGATGACACTTATAACAGAGAAAACCTATAAAATAATATTTCCAAAATAGCAATTATTCCTGACAACGAAGTACAATCTGAAGACAAAATTAACGTATACACATGGAAAATTTCTATGATCACATAACAGAGAACATTTTTTTTCCTCAGTCAGCAATGCCATCTATTTACAAACTTGACTACTAATTTTAAAATTTGACAAGAGGTTTTCTGATTTCCAGAGCAGAATATGAGTGTTTAAACCAATTTCACTTTTGTTTAGCCAATTCTTTAAATCCTTGATCATTCATTTTGGTTACAAAATACACAGCAGTGCTTTAATATACATTAATAAATAATTTAGACATACATTTTTATTTTACAGATTAAGTCCTTTAACCAAAACATAGTTTTCTAATCCTTTTTCCAAAAATATTAAGACCAATATTAGCTTAAGAAAATAAAAATACCAGATTCTTCTACATTTAAAATTAAGAGAAAGTTATTAATATTAAGAGAGTTATTTCACCATAATAACTACCAAATTTTGTTTATGTTTTAATACATAAATAAAACTATTTCGAAGCTATATAGGCTGAATTTTGTTAGTATACATGAAATCATTAAAGTCATTCATCAAATCAGTTTAAGTTATAGATTACTATATTTATATAATTTCTTAAAGGATAAATATGCAATTTAATTTAAATTCATTTAATTTTTTTTTAAAAAAAAATATGTAAAGATAGCTAAAAAATAAGTTAAGATAACTAAATATTTTATAGATACTAGAGAAGTATCAGGTAGATTTTCATTATCTGGCTTAGAATCTTACAACCTACAAAAGAATCTTACAACCTGTAACAAGTACCTGGTTTTTTTCTCAAGACCAGAACTCTGTCAATTTTATCACGTCTTTAGAGCTGGGTAACATTCACAGCTACATTGATATGGCACTTAAATAAGTAACAAAATTACAAATGGGAAATAATATCAAAAGCTAGATAATAAAAGCATAAAGATTAATATTTTATTTGAGATTTATTTGAATTTGAGATATATTGAAATTTATCTTTCATTTGAGAAATGCTTTAGAAATAGGAGAGCAAAGAAATCACGGTTGATAAAAATATGATAAACCTTCGTACTGAGATAATCACCTCAAATATTTATGTAAAATACTACATATGAAAAATATAACATACTTTTATATACTTGTTTTGTATAATTATCAACTCCCCAAAATTTTGCTAAGCAATAACTTCAATAAAACATGTCATACTTTTGTAAAAACTTTTTATAATTTCAAACAAACAAAAAGATATTCAAAGTATGTTAAATTTAAATTCATTTATATTTATATTCAATATGATATTTCAAAAATTAAGTATAAAACTAAAAATGGCACTAATAAACCATTACCTGAAGAACTGCACATTCCCATTCTAACCATTGGTCAATGTCAGGATATAATGGTTGTCCACTAACACTCCATAAGTATCTATATTAAAAATTTAAGGTTAAAATATTTCACAAAAAGTAGGCATAATAATAAAAAGATGAAATTCTAAAACAAGTAAAGAATTGTTTTACAGTTATGTAATACATTATAGATAAAGAAAATTTTGCTTATAAGAAATTAAGAAAATTTATACTTACCTACAAGAAGCATTTGATGAAAAAAAGGTACACTGGTCCTTAATTTCAAGCAGTGGGAGTCGAACTTGCTTTTTGACATCTGAAAAAAATATTATTAAAAAAAACATTCGATAGCATAGAAAATATATCCAATTGATATATTTCAAACCAAAACAGTAAATATCTATTTTAGAGGTGCACAACCTTTTTGAGTGAAGGGCCACTTGCACAGCAGGTAGACTAACAAAAGGACGCACACATATTTAGACACGTTGACGGCAAATATAGTAATATTTATTTAAACATTAGTGCTCTAATTTTTTTTCATCTATAAACTTAGTAATATATTTGCTGAATATTAAAGACGTTTAATTATCAGAATTCATTCAAAAATAAAAGAATTAATCCTTTTTTTAAAAAAAAATTCCATTTTATCTCGAAAAAAGATTAATTAAATGGCCAATTTGAAACTCTCATGCAGTAATAAAAAACTAAACTCAGCGGAGCGACAGCCCTTGAGGGCCAAGGCCTACTGTGCCCATCTCAGTTTTCTTAACCTTGGGCTCTGGGGTGCAAGAGCAGATGTTCCGGTCAGGTGGTCAGCCGAACGCGGAACCCCCAGTGTTTAGTTCCCAAGCATGCTTGGTACTCATTTATCGATCCACTGAAGGGATGAAAGGCTGAGTCAACCCTACCCAGCCCGAGGATCGAACCAGGGACCTGTAGCACGACAGCGCGAAGAAATGTGAATATAACTGCTTAAAAATCCATTTAAATTTAGGATAATATTGCTCTGAAGAAAGCCCGTTAAACAACATACATTTATTTACTATAGAATCTGTGAAAATCAAGCATGTCAAGTGATGATTTAAAATTGCAATTAAAAATTTCCAACAATTATTTAAATTCTTTTTATTTATTACTTTATTTAGAAGCTTCTGCGGGCTACACTTCAACAAATTACAGGAAAAAACCTAACTCAACAATTACATAATTCATGTTATGGTACATATCAAAAATTATTAATTGCCATTTATAACACCTTAAAACTAATTATGTTCATTACCCTAATTTATTGAAGATTAGTATATTTATTAAAATAAAGTTTAAAAAAATATTCGTACATAGATCCAACATAGATATTAAAATGTTGAGAGTAAACAAATAAGTAGATGGGAAAAACAGAGAAATTAAGAGCGAGCAAAATATTAAATTAACAATTATCTAAAAATTATAAAAAAATTCAAGATTAATGATATTGGTCCAATGAAGGAGCAAGTTATTTTGCTGCTAGGTGTGCTATGTTCAAATTAATAAAACTATAAAGTAAAACACAATTTTGTAAAAGAGCAAGTTAATCTCATGGGCTCCTAAGTAACAAATTGCAAATTTAAACTAAAATAAACATATTTAATTAGGTAAAGTTAATAACACTACAATATGGAAGAAAATAACAAAAAATAATATTCATTTAAAAATAATTGAAGATAATGCAATACAATAAAACATAATAAGCTTAATATATGATGCAATTCATAAAAAGAAATACTTAGTTTTACCAGAACATTTCTCTATATTGAGTTTGACACCACAGAATTCTGATACGACAAGTATTTTTAAGCTGTTTAGATTACACTTATCATCTATGCTAAGCTTCATGATAATTAAATAAAGAAATGTCAATTACACGTTTTCAACAACCAGCACAGCACGAAAGGAAATTAAAAAACAGTAAACAAAGCAGAAGAAACAATCAACTTCCTTACAAATGCAGTTACAGATAAAATAAGACACCGGTTATTTCAGGTTATATTCGTAAAAGTTATATTTTACTACTGCTCAATTTTCGATATACAAACGCATGTGAGTAATCCGATCATTTCTAAAAACATTCGCTATTATTTTTGATTAAGAGCGTTCGCACCATATACAAAAAAATAACTCATGAAAATTTTGGAGGTAAGAATTGGAAAATATGAAGCTGTAATTGGGGAATATATTTACCCCCGAAAATTCACATCAAGAATAATCGAAAAATCCCAAAAGCATGAGCATCGCAAAATCCCGAAAACATGCATGAGAATGGATCTATAAGCACAATTTTTCAATATTTTGTTGACATTTCCGATATATCCAATGTTTTCTTGGTCTTCTTTTTTGTTTGAAGTGTGCTATTAATGTTTATAGTTGATTAATTCGTGTAGTCGTGTATTGATTCGTGTAATCCCAACCCCGTTCTCTTCATCAGTTGACAAATATTAAAAAACGAACTGACTGGTTTTTTAAAAAAATATAGGCATTCTTACAGCATCCTAAATGTAACAGGAACTGCTCATGTCCTTAGAAAATATTTTTTTAAAAAAAATAAAAAAAATGGTAGAAAAATAATTTTTAAACTGATATTTGGAACCTCACTGCTGTATCTTTCCAATTTAACATTTTGAGAACAGAAATCCTCCCGCAGAGACATCCAGAAATAATTTATTTAAAAGGTGATTATTAAACCTAAACGTACTGGTTTTGTTTGTTTTTTATACATTCTTCCTTGTCAGTGTTTCGTCAAGTTTTGATAAAGCTTTCGTCTTTTTCCTCGTATTCTACGAATTTGTTTTCCCTAATGGACATGCTTTTTCAAATAGATATTTCATTTCTAATGGATATTTTAATCAAAAATCTACAAAATTTTACTCATTGTCTTTAAATTAAAACAATGAGCCATTAAAATTAATAACTATGTGTATAGTAGTTTTACCTTATTTTCCTCAACGGTATAGTAATTTTCCTGAGCTTTAAAGATCTAGATTTTAGAAAAAACATTCAATTTTTTTCTAAATGAGCTTTACAAAAAAAGATGACGTGTTTTTTGTAGGGAGCACTGGTAAAATTACTTCAGAAAAATAAAAAAATTTAAAATAAAACGGATTTTTTTTTCTTTCTTTTTTTGACAACTTGGCCACTAGGCAAATGGTTGTTTTCAATACAAAATATGAACAAAATGGGTGAATAGATTTCTCATTTTTAAACTTTCGTATTTAAAATCCGTTTTCGATTAATTTCATTCAAATTTTGTATTTTCCCCACTTTCAAATTACATTGTTTAAAGTTATATCTTTTTTGTTGCGTTTTAAAAGTTCACGCGATTAAGAGAAAAACACAAAAAATAAAATTAACACTAGGGGAACTAACCTAGGTGTTCTGGCACTCTTCTCGTTAAATTATTGGAACCATATTCTTCTGATTGTGGCTACCACATATTTTTGGATTCAAGAATTCAAATCCATTTTAAAAAAGCGCTATTGAAAGAATTTACTTTTTTATTGTCTGATTTCGCAACTATTTATAATAATGTTTGGCAATAATGAATTAATATAATTGAGGTTAATCCCTTGAACCATTAAGATTGGCACTTACATAAAATTCCAATCATTCGAACATAAGTTATTCAGGGTGATATCTTTATTTTTTTATCAACTATTTATTTATTTGCCTCACTGTACATTAAAATAAAAAAATTTCTATCATAAAATAAAAACAAAAATTGCCCATTTAATGGAGGAGTGAGTATGCATCTCTGTTATATAACTTTCTTTCCAGAAGTTTTATACTTTCGTAAAAAAATAGAACATAAATTTAAAAAAAAATCACAAATACATTTCGCAAAAAAATCGCAACCAAGCATTCTACTTTTTTTTTCTATTATTATTTTTCATAACATTTTATTTAGTCAATGCAAACCAAACATTCTCGCATGGCTTAATAACTTTGGAACGTTTAAAACATTTTACTGTTTCAGAAACATTATTGAAGTTGAAATGCTTGCTACAGAATGCAGTAGGACCTATCTTAAAAGTGAATAAAAACATTAAAAATTATAATAAAAATAAATAAAATAAAAATTTAAATAATTTCGTTTTTTCATATTGAAGTAATATTCCATCGAGAATAATTACTGTTGATTTGTATTTAAGTGATTTGATAAATGATAGTATTGTGGTTCGCGATTTCAATGTACAGATGAAATAAAATTAATTTTCATTTTTTACGAAGCATTGAGTTATTATAACACGCGAAATAGTTTGATAACTTTCGGCAATCATTCTTTTTAGAATGATGCGTGCGTCAAATAAAATATGACGAATCTTCACCACACCTTTCTATTTCACGCGACGTCATAAAAATAATAAGGGAGAGCTCTTTGACTGCGCATGCGCTAATTCCAAGGATATGAAACAGAGAAGAGAGGTCAATAAACATTTTTCTCCTTTACGCGTACCACATCTAACACTACTAACTTCATTTCGAAGCAGATGTAGGTCATTTTAAAACTTGACTGAATGAGGGGAGGAAACGGAATTGAATTAATCAAGAAAAAAAAGATAAAACGTCTAATATGGAAATGATTCATACTTGAAGAATGATTCAACATTTTACAAAATGTTAATTCATTCTTTAAAGAGAGGAAAAAAAGCGTACTAGATCGACTTTTATTTCGCTTATTTTTCGAAAAGCAAAATTTTTAAAAACATCTCTAAACTAACTTAGGACTAGACAGAGTTCCATATCCTGGGTTCCGCTGAACGTTAGGGTTCCCTGGTGCTAGGACAAGGGTTCCGCAAGTGATCACTATTTGCTTAATCAAAGCAAAAAAATTCTAGTAAACAATTCAATTTTTTTTAAACTTGTATTGAATGACACTTGATGTTAATACATTTTTTTCAAATATTAATTCATGAATTAAATTTAATTAATTAATTTTAGTTTTGCATTAGTGAACATTTTTTAATTATTTAATAAAAAGTAACTAAAATAAAATTTGACCTAAACCTAAGTAGGAAAGTAAGGAATTGACTTTTAAAAAAAAAATATATATTATTTGTTTTTTTAGGCTTTTTACTAATTCATTATAAAGTCTTAATTTTAATCTCAGTTTCATAAATTTAATTTGAAAGGATTTTGGCCAACACGTCATACGAATAATTCAAGCCTAACAGACAAGCTCTAATGATCATATGATAGTTTTTGACCCACGGTATTATATATAACACGAGCCTTCCTGATTCTAACGGCTCAAGATCACAAGAACACAATCTCAATATCGTACTCTCGTATAACATCTTGTTTTAGTGTGTATATGTACTCTTTAGTACGCATACTCTCGCAGTATGCGGGCCTAAGACGCGTTTTTCATTTTTATTTAGCAGGTACTGAGAGGTTTAAGCCCTGGCGAAATTAAACAAAATCAATTTTCTTTTCATAACCATCGAGAAAATCTTTTTCAAAAAACACAAAAGTTAGACAATCGTGAACAATGAAAGAAATTTTCCACGAAGGGTTAAAAGTGGCCACTATACAAAAGAAATCATGAGAAACATAATGAATAAAGCAATGTGAATAAACACAAATAAATAAATGTAGAGCGGCGACTGCTCAAGGGATAGAGCGTTCGCCTTCCAACGAGGTGAACCGGGTTCGAATCCCGGCGACAGCTGGTCGATATGAATTCCGCATCCGGCTTGCCCCGACCACAGTGCTGACGTGAAATATCCCCAGTGGTAGACGGATCGTAGGTTAGAGTCTCCTTGTCGTCAGGCTAACCGTGGGAGGTTCTCGTGGTATTCCTCCCCATGTAACGCAAATGAGGGTTAGTTCCATCGAAAAGTCCTCCACGAAGGCAAATTTCTCCCCATACTTGATCCAGGAGTTCCCTTGTCTTCTGGATTGGGTTCAAAATTACAAGGCTACGGAGTTGAACATTGGTAGTCGTAAATCCAAAAAAATTATGTCGGCTGTTCAACGACGGTTATAAAATAAATAAATGCACAAATAAAGGTTCAGATGTGTATTATTTCCGTTGTTTTGGTTTATTCAACGTGGCACAAAATATACTCTTTCCTCATCTGGATTAAAAATACAATCCAATTGCGTACATGGAGTTGTACATATGGATCACGTACATGGACGAAGCATAATCAATTTGCGGTACATGAAAAGGAAAACCGCAAAAACCTTCTACGGTTAGCCACGGTAAGAGAATCTAATATTTGGATATTTAGAGAAAGTCTGTTGATAAATACAGAGTTGATAATTAGTTAGGCTCTTTTAACCAAAGGGATGCTCCAGTTTTTCACCCATCTGACCCATATCCATATGGGTAATATTTGAATTCGTAAAAATTTATAAATTAATAGTTGTGTGTCTAAAGCAATAGGTAACGATGAGATGCTTAGCAATATAAAATGAGCCGGGACAGCCTAGTTGGTAGGACGTTGGGCTCGTGTTCGTGAGAACGCAAGTTCGAATCCCGCCGCCGAAGAATCCCCGTGTAGTAAATGGTGACTAGTGCACGTTAAATCTGTCGGGCCACTGAGTCCTTCAAAATCCCATAGCAAATCAATTACTCTGGGGTACTGAATTGGAGATTGATCGTTCTCTGGTTCGGGACAAAATTACGATCTGAGGATGATTGGGTTCTCTCTGTAAAACGGGCTGTGACTTGTGTGTGTTGCTGAAGTCGTATTCTTGGCCATAGATGGCGCTGTTGAAAAAAAAACAAGAAACGCACCCTCTGCCTGAAAAATTCGCTTGATTTCAAGCAGGCTTGCTGGTATTGGCAAGTAGCAGAAGTAAAAACAAGAACAATATAAATAATAAAATATATTTCATTCAATAAAATTTTTTTAAACTTTATTTAAAAGAAAACATAATGTCAGTAGTTCCCAAATTTTTTTCGGCTACGGAATCCTAAATAACTGAACTTCTTTCGATGGAACCCCGACTTTATAAATGAAGTTTATTAACCCGTTTTGTCCCAAATTTATATATTGAAATTATACAGAAAGTGGTTTTATGGAAAAAGTGGTATTATATATTATCGAAATTAATTGGTTTTTCTACTGTTAGAGCATTCAAAAAGTCTTTGATAGATCAAAAAGTATACTTGCTCCTTATAATTCTAGATCTAATCAGAAATAACTAAATCATCGTGGTATCTGAGAATCTTTTAATTCACCCGGAAAAATAAAAATACTGAAAAAAGTTTCCCATCACAATGAATGT